CTTGAAACGATTACTTTCTGGTGCCATGACAGCAAAAGGTTTTTTGTTAATAATGTATTTGGGGAAAAGAACACTTTTTCTATCAAAGAATCTAATTATTTTTCTTTGCAGTTTCTGAAGGACAAAAGTTCTCACAATTGAGCTATGTATGCACACGCTCTTCTGTTGTTTAGTCATTACTTGTCACGTGTAAGTAACGATAAGATATCACTATTGGTTACCTGAAATAACCTTTTTCCAGCTAAGAATGCATCGGTCACTAAGATGAAACTAAACAAAATTTGCCTTTTGAAACACATTAGGTCCCTGTAATACAGACAATAACTGTTTGAAGTCACCACTCTGGAAGTAACAACATATCGTTTACCAAAGAATTTAATTATTGTTGTTTGAAGATTGAGCTGTGACTGCACACGCTCCTCCGTTGTCTATTTATTACCTCCAACGTGTAAGTAACGATACGGAATCGGCACTACTGGTAACCTGAACTAAGTCCCTTCAGCCAAAAAATGGATCGGTTCTTGGAGATACAAATGAAACTGGCAAGAAACTGGCATTTGGGCACATTTTTTTTTTCCTGTGTAATGATGAAAAGAACCTGTTTAAAATGGCCATTTCGAGGGTAATAACATGTCGTACCCCAAGGAATTTAATTATTTCTTATTTGAAGAAGTTGGAAAGGCATAGAATTGAGCTGTTTCTAATTTTGCAACTGCTAAACATGAAATTGACAGCTGTGTAGTTGACAAGTATTATTGAAGCTGTCAACTGTCAACTCGAAAAATGTAGAAAACACTCGCCTGCGGCTCATTTCCTTCGTGCTCTCAAATGCCCGGTCGTGTTTTATCGGCTTAGATTTAGTTAGCAAAAACTAAGCGGTTTCCCTTTTCGAAAAGGGAAACTGCTTACATAGTTGTCGACAGCTACGTTTTTTCCTTGTGCTGGAATCATTGGTTTAATTGTCGACAACTATCGAAACATGATACACATTTAAGCTTACGTACAATTTTTTGCGCATGGGTGGTGAACGTTAGTTCCCAAGCTCTCGCTGGCCTGACTTAGTTTTCGACCACCAACACAGTAATGTGTAAAATGCTGGCATCGGAAACAATTAGTTGCCGATAACATTGAATTGTAGATAACAAATAGTTGTACATAACTACATGTGTAGACCATGGAGTCCCTTATAGTAGCAATGCAGGTTTTACCAGTTGTGGCCTGAGCGTTGTGTTACAGTTCAGTTTCGCCTCTCTAGCTTCTGCTGATAAGAAAAATCAAGAGAAGGTCAAGGCACTCACCTTGATTTTCACTTGGAATAATTAAATACCTTGGCGCACGATGATAAGTCACTATTTTTCATTTAGGCTGTTGTTACCATTTCGTTGAGAGTATTTTTAATAGAATTCCTCATATTTCCAACTCTTTAAACAGCACTAATGAATTGGTACCTTCCTCCACTATGATTTTATGTCAACTTTCTGTTAATTTACGTTATATTTTGGCATCCTGAGAAAAGTTTGAAATTGGAGGTGGCAAACTAAAAAATGTTGGATTGAAATTGTGTAAATTTGCTTGTATCTCTGATTGTTGTTTTCGATTCATTTCTTACGTCGTCTGTCCTGGAAGCAGAATTAAGGATAAACCAATCACATTGTTCGATTCCGGGGCTTGTGACTGGTTGGCTCTTTACAATCCTGCTTCCGACTCCGGCAGTCTAGTTTTCACCGGATCATAAACGACGAGCTTATGACCCCGCTTACAATTTCGATTTTCGACTCTCACGAGGTCGTAATCGTTTTTAACTTATGACTCCAACTGCGACTATGACTCCAACCCCGTCGCTAGTGGAAACCAGCCTTTAGTGTCACAATGAGGTTTCCAATCAGTCTCATGTCGCTTTAAAATAACTTCGCTATAAGCAAATTTATTTAACCTGCATATTTCATTTGTTTATTTTTCAAGGAATATGAAGTGCTTTGTTCAGGTGAACATGCACAATATCTTTATATCTGTGAAATTTATCGGGTTTCTTACAAGGGCAACATCTGTAGTAAGGAATTGTTTCGCGGGGAATTTTCAAACACATATTTTTTTGTTGTTGTTATTTAACAGGATGAAGATCAAGGCAAAGACAAAGGTCCTGGTTAGTGCACAAGTGGTTTTTTTTGTTGTTGTTGTTAGCATTTTCAGATTCAATATCATTAATTGTGAAAACTGTCAAATTAGACTTCTCGTCAGCGGCTCCTGAGCTTACCCTTATGGTGGGTTAGCCACAAGAG